ACCTCCGCCTCATGGGGACCAGCCTCGTGCTGATCTTTATAAGAGAAATTGTTCAAGAAGTTACTGACTAAAATGTCAACTGGGTGCAAAACAAAGAGAATGGGAGAGTCCCAAAGGAATAGAATATAGGACCTTCACCCTTGGGAATTCATCATCTAATTGGGGGCATGGTAGACATAAATGAAATCAAAGCAAAGGACTTACTCACACATGGCAGTCAGAAAACATAGTATGTAAATGTTGAAGGTACACTAAATGAAATGGCAAAGGTGCAGACAGAAACTTATCTTGGAATAAGTGCAGTTTAAATGGGATTCCAAGAAAATGAATAATGCAACAATAGGGAGTTTTTCCTGACAGATGTGAGTTTAGTCTGAGCAGAAGACAGTTATACTGAATAGAAACTGTGTAAGTTCAGCCCAGTACTCCACATGATTGTGATTCCAAGCCCACAAAACAGAGGTGAGAACCACTGTTGTGCTATTGAGTCATAGCAGCCCTACGTGAGAGAGCAGAACTGCCCCACTGGGGTTTCTAGGCTGTAATCTTTATGGGAAAAAGCTTTGGTGGTGCAGTGGTTAAGTGCTCAGCTACTAACTGAAAAGTTGGCAGTTTGAACCCACCAGCTGCTCCACAGAAGAAAGACCTGGTGATCTGCTTCCATAAAGATTACAACCTTGGAAAAGCTATGGGGCGACTCTACTCTGTCCTATAGGGTCACTATGAGTTGGAATCGATTCAGTGGCAATGGATAATCTGTATGGGAGCAGATCTGTCTTTTCTCTCAGAGAGCAGTTAGTGGGTTTGAACCACCAATCTCTTAGTGAGCAGCCAAATGCTCAATCATTGTGCCACTAAGGGTCCTATGGAATCGTTGTTGTTAGGTGCTATTGAGTTGGCTCCAACTCACAGCAACCCTATGTACACTAGAACAAAACACTGCCTGGTCCTGCACCATGCTCACAATGCTTGTTATGCTTGAGCCTATCACTGCAGCCAATGTGTCAATCCATCTTGTTGAGGGCCTTTCCCTTTGCTGATCCTTTACTTTACCAATTTTGATATCCTTCTCTAGGGAATGGTGGTCCCTTCTGACAACAGGACCAAAGTAGGTGAGATGACGTCTGACCATTCTCACTTCTAAGGAGCATTCCAGGTGCACTTCTTCCAGGGCAGATTTGTTTGTTCTTCTGGCAGTCCATGGTATTTTCAGTATTCTTTGCCAACACCACAATTGCATCACCTCTTTATCAGCACAATAAACATCAACTCTCTTCGATCTTCCTTATTCATTATCCAGCTTTCACATGCATATGAGGCAACTGAATACACCATGGCTTGGGTCAGATGCACCTTAGTCTTCAAAGTGACATCTTTGCTTCTTAATACTTAAAGAGGTCTTTTGCAGCAGATTTTTGCCATGCAATATGATGTCTGATTTCCTGATTGCTGCTTCCAATGGTGTTAACTGTGGATCCAAGTAAAATGAAGTCCCTGACAACTTCAGTGTGTTCTGTTTATCATGCTGTTGCTTATTGGTCAATGTTTTGG